ATTTCAACATCACTCAACTGTATCTTGATTGTGAAATAGGTAAAAATATACATAAAATGATTTTACCCTTTCTTGAATTGAAAGAGGATGAAACCGATGCAGAATGCAATAAGTGCGAATCTATTGTGTCCTCTGATGATGTTTCCGAATCTTACAAAATTGGGCTTGATAAAATTGAAGCTTATATTCAGTCCAAGGAACACAAAATTTTGATTCATTGTGCACAAAATTAACTTCGGAAAATACTTTTGATGCTGAAAATGGTTTTGAATTTGATGAAAGCAACATGAGTGAAATTTCTATGGAGGAAGAGATAGATTGTTCCGAATTTATAAAGAAAGAACCCGAACCACAAAAAAACTTGATTTATGAAAATTATGTTGAATTTGTATGTATTGTTGAAAATAAAGGTTCAGAGGTTTTAAAAGCAAAATCAACGGTTTTTCCAAAAGTAAAAACAGTTCCGAATAAGGTGTTCGTAAAAACCGGATTGAACAAAAATCAAACTTCAGTACTAACATCCATAGTAGATGACGATAATACAAATGGGTGCGACAAATTCTTTTGGTCATAACCAATTGACAACTCTAATGAAACCAAAGGTCTTTCAGAATTAACCTTATGGAAAATGAAAGTGAGATATGTAGTAGAACCATTGAATTGCGTTAACCCTTGTTATGATAAAGCAGGTCCGGGTGGCACTAAAAATATCAAAAATGAAATGTCTTCCAAACTGACTGTTAAACCAATCAGAAAATGGAGACCTAGAACTAACATTCATAAGTCAGCTGAGGAATTAACTGCTAAAAAATAACAATTTGATGCTAGATATAGGAAGAACTTGCAAGAAAGAAAACGGTTCTGGAAAAACAAGAATTTCAATCACAATTTTGTTAATTAAAAAAGATCTTTGATTCATAATGCGAATTCTTCTCCTATTCAGAAACCGAAATCAAAATCTTTTTCAAAACCTTCGATTTCAACACCGTAAATTTCAAAATCAAAAGTTTCCAAGTCTCAAGTTTTCAAACCTATTGTGAATCAAAAATCCGATTATCCTACAAAAACAAATTTTTCAAAATATGTAAACACATTAAAAGATGTGAAGCGCAAATGTAAAATTGTTTCCGAACCTCACATAGGTCTCGAGGAATACAAAACAAACTT